GCGCATTTCGTAGTATTTTCGTCGTCCAATCAATTATTAATTTAGTGAATATTATTTGATATGCACTCGCGCAGTGCGCACAATTGACACTTACCTTTCTCCCTTATCGAGCGCTATCGAGCTGAAAAACGCCGGCGAGGTCCGCCATCGCGAGAAATCGATAATCATAGAGTCCGCTTTTTTGCGCGATATCGCGCGCAAAGAAGTTTATCGATTCCATCGTTCGGCGGCATTGGCGGAAATGCAATTAAACTGTAATTATTAACGTCGGCGAATCGCCCGGCATTGTTACAAAATTATATATCCCAGCGAATATTACGTCAGACGGAGTTTTCGTTCCGGGCCCTTTAACCAAAACCAATTACTGAGACGGGCAGATTTAATTTTCCGCCGGCGATAAAATTAATTCAATACCGCGCTCGTATATTTCTGCAATGTGTATGGGATTGGCACAATGAATTTTCATGCAAGAAGGGACCAATTAGCGAATACGCGGCCGCGCATCGGGCGTATCGCGTTAAGGCGCATTGATAATGGAAGTGAAGAATTAATCCTCTCACGGCGCAGAGAATAGCGAGGATAGCGGCCTGTTGTCATTGTATTGTGACGGACACGCGCGGGATTTTCGGAAATTGTCGTGTTTTATCTGATATATATTCTTAAGATTAAATCTAATCTCCGCACACACAATTTCTACTCGGGAATTTCCCGTGCGATTTAGCGCAGCAAAGAAATTCGTTTGAATTAACTAGAAAATCCGGTTGGAACGACTAGAATTCTATTCAAGATTTCTGGTTAAGGCTCCCGGGTAGTCACCGCGGCCATGTTGAAATGATGACGGCAGAAATGAGGAAAACCGTGGCCAAAATTCCTGCACGCAAAAAAAATTTCAGTTGGTGCAATCAAAAATAAGAAGCAACCGAAAATAAAGTGATCAGAAGCGATATCTCTGTTATGAAAACTAATATTTCTGTTGTCGCAACCGAAAATATTCAACGATATTAGAACTCGGTTGAGGCAACTGAGAACAATTGACTAAAACTTACAGAAGCCTCATGAACGAATTTTTCTGTCCCTACAGCCGAGTTTTCGTCTGATCTCTGAGCAACCAAAAATTCGGTTACACCAACAGAATGGTTTTTTTTCGTGTGCCAGCCACACTTAAATAAAAAGATATATCATTCTAATGACACTTGCAATCTATTCTGCTCTCTTGTGAAATGCTCCGCACATTCCTCTTTTGCCGAAATAATTCAACCCGATGAAACTTTTGACACTGTACGCTCGATGCCGTAACGTGTGCCGCGCGCATTTAATCGACTGCACCTGCCTCACGCCTTGCATACTTTCGAAACTTCATGTCTCACGGAGGCATTATTATCCGAATATCCGTCTCTCTCCTCTTGGCCCGTTATTATTACGTGCATCTGCGAACGTTACGTGGCCCCGACAGAAGTTCGAATAAGACACGCTTATTACGCGCGCATTAATAGAACACCCTATAAAAGTGTACGATGCTGCACGAAGAAAGAAGTTTCGTTGGATCAACCAAATGTCTGGTGAAATATAAACGTACCAGAAAATTGCGCAGTTGGAGTTAGCAGAATTCTGTTCAAGTTGACAAAATTCTAGCTAATCAAACAAGATTTCTGATTAATCAAAACCTGCAACTGTTCAAGTTCTGCTTCAGGCTCCTAAGTAGTCAACCGAGAAAACTTTGCGTTGAGACGGTTGTCAACGGCATTGACAGTATGATTGTAAACGGTAAACTGATGAATTTTGGTACGACAAGTGCTTCCTACTTGATGATATTGTATGATAATATAGCTGATAGTGATAATAAATTTGCAAAACAAACCGCAAAAATAAAGACTTTCAATACATTGAGGAAAAAATACCTGAGAATCTATTTGCAGAATATAAAACTTATTTCTGCACAAAATAAACTTTTATCTCACAAATAAATTCTCAAGTATTTTTTCCTCGGTGTAAGAAGTATTTTAGACTACTTCGCCGTTGAGAGCCAGAAATCTCATATATTCGACGTTGTTTCAGGGAGAATCGTTCGCAGTCTCGAGAAAAGGCGTGAGAATGTTTTCCTTTTCTTATTTTATTCTAGATTCTCGGTCATGCATCATGCGAGTTAAATGTCGCTTCTCTTTTTATCATATCGATTACACACGTAAGGCGAGAGAATAAAACACCGGCCGTACAATCGCGGTTCAATGGAATCGAAAATAATCACGCGAAGTTCAAAGGCAACTAGAAGCGGCGGAACAGAAAAGAGCGAAGCCAATAAGAAACAAATCAAGACAAAAACGAAACTTAAGGGGACCCCGGGAAGTCTTACGATAAATCGCAGTAGGGGAAAAAAGAACTTACCGACACGGTAAAAGCGCGAGAGAAGAGAGGAAGGGCAGCGAGCGAATTGTTCCGGACAGGAAATCGATGTATTGGTATTTTCTTTCGCTCGCTTCAATATCTATTCAAAGCTTTTTTCGGGAACCCCCGTGAGAGGTGACGAACGGGGTAAAAGTGTAACGAACGTCACGGTGAGTAAGAGCGAAATCAAATTGTAGATCTCGCAGAACACACATCGTACTAAAATATAATACGATAAAATCGCGTTATTATATTTATTCATTATGTTGTATGGAGATTAAACGAATTTCCATTATATCGCATAACATGGATTAATCAAATAGCCATTACGATATGCTCATAGAATATAACCGAATAACCCTCTCGTGTTGCGTAATTGGATGAATATATGTGCATTGTAATGCTACTTTTATCATTATGTCGTTGCCGCATTATTAATTAGCGTTTAATATCGATACACAATACTTGTGAATCGTAAATTGGAAGTCGCCATAATCGTGTCGCGAATTAATGATATGTAACGTTCCCGTTAATTCTCACTCATTTGAGAAATCGGACACTTCCTTGCCCGGTTGATCGAAGGTTATAATCAAACCTAATAGCAGCGCAGACCTGTGGCCGATACCATGACGACACTTATCTCCTCTGAAACACTCCGCGACTAGAGGGTCTGGAGGGTCACTCGATCGAAGGAACGCCGCCTGCGCTGTCATTGTCCCTTTTCAAGCTCGCTGCCGCTTTACTGTATGCAATAAAAAGTCGGTTATAAAACAGGATATCGCGAAAAAAGAACTCATCCGGCCAAGTGGCTGGCCGGATAATTGAATTGAGTTGGGTTCCGCCAAACAAAAATTGGACGGCCCGCAGAGCGACAGGACGCATTAGAAAATGAAAGCTCAAACGCGCCGAAGTTTTACAAATATACTCGTGGAAAAATGAGACATAGAAATGTCTGACGTGAGTCGGTAGAAAGTTTATTGCAATACGTCTTATTACAAATTCAACACAACGCCTACGTGTCACACAACACGGAGAAAACTGCTGTGGTTGCTGCATCCACATGCTTTATAGTAGAGAGAACATTTGTGTGATTTCAAATTGAACAGATATTGCATTGAAAATTGCATATTGTTGTTATATGCCCATCAATACAGTTCTCACATCATAGTATTTATGATACGTAATATTCAGTTAGTACATTCTCACATATAATAATCTCTTAATCGAAGGGAATTGTTGTCTTCCCTTTGTTATGGTCTACACAATACTATGACTGAGAGGTCTATGGAGTTTGGTTACGCCATTCAGCATTGAAAGCACCGTTCAAACACATATAGGCAGACAACGAAGCAAGCCAGTTTATCATTTCCAGTGTGCCATGATTGCTACAACATTTTGCACGCATAGGCGAGTCCTTAATGTCCTTAATGTTTTCTTCGTGAATTCATATTACAGTTTACGCAACATTGCGATGTATCTAAAAAATATTTTAATGTTTGAAACTTGTTCCATTAGAAGAGACTGGCTCATATAGAATCTGATTCTGTGTGATAGAAGATTCTGGCCCGATAGAAGAATCTGATTCACATAGAATCAGAAGATTGAATATCTTTAGAATTGTTTATTGCACGTATAATGTGCCCTTTCTTAATCGTGATACTAGCTTAAACTACTCGGCGTTGCCCGAGTTATCACAAAGTGTTAAGGGAATGAAATCAAGAGGAAGGAATGGAATGAGTTTTCATGATAGCCTATATTTTCCGCAAGATTCTAGAGAGAGTAACTATGCAAAGTAACTATGTTTGGTCTAAATCAGTTTAGGAGTTTATAGAGAACAGACAGCCAGATATTCTATTTTATATATACAAATATACACACACACATACACATACACACAAGTGTTTATGACATACTTAGACAAATTTTCTATTTCTGTCGTCAAGGAAACAAAGTTTATATAAGTCCAATCCATAATCAAATATGAGTGGTTTGCGAAGTTATAATAAAATAAAATTTATCACTTTTTTGCCGTCAAGTAAGAAATGTACTCAATAATAATTATACAATAATAATTATATAATAATAATTATGTAGAGATCATAATTATATAAATAATTATATCTAGATAGATGGATTGGCAGAGGAGAATCAATCGCCTTCACGTTCTGTACATTTGAGTTCGTTAAATTTTTATCAATAGAAACATATTTAGTATATTTATAACCTGTTGATATATAACGAAGAGATGCTTCGCGTTATTAATGCTTGTGAGGTTACATGGAATCTCCGCAAACTTTTGAAATGGTTCAACATCATTACTCTGCCGTGTCAATGGCTGTCTTCAATCCAATACGGCCATTTTGAACATTTGTTATAATTTAAACGTTTTTACTTAATAGTAAATTGTTTAATAGTGACACGCTAACGTAAACTTCGCAATCAATATATATCATATTTGATTATTATATAAACTTTTTATTATATAAACTAGAAGTTTACATAAATTTTGTCCTTTATTTTAACGCGAAGAATACGCTCTGGACGTTTGTCTAAATATTTGAACATCCTGTATATATGAATTATCGTATAGAAAGAAAAATGTTGTTATCCTACAATAGATGCGATATGGAGGACCGATCTAGACTGGGTGGTGATTCATCGCGACCGGCTGGTGTTGCTGAGCTTCATGAACCCGATCGGCAACCTAAGCACCTTGACCGGCACGATAACTCCGCAGCCCTTCGTAACCTTAACCCCAGACGAGGCCGGCCTTAACGAGGACCTCGACGAGCTCGCCACCCCGACGTCTGGTTTAACGAACATCGCGCTTCCCGACGCGATCGAGACTCACGCCGGCGAGACGACCACGGCGTTCTCGATGGTTGTCCAACCGATCGCTACCAACCCGACTGTGTCTCGTGCAACATCGAGCCCCGTGACCATCGCCGGAAGCAAGGCAGCCACGACGAGCACGACGAGCACCGAGGCGACTTCGACAGTCCAATCGAAGACAACGGTGTTGCCGAAGGCGACCAGCACCGCGAGGCGACCGACCATGAGAACCATCGCCAGGAACAGCAGTTCGAAGGGCAGGTCAAAGGCGAAGAATTCCACGAGGATATCCACCACGGCGAAGCCCGCCAGAGCGGCCGGCGGGAACATGACGGCGCAGAATATGCCGCTGACGATGAACAGTCTGGCGGATCTCGATCATCCCGAGAATCTGAATCTGGAACTGCAAACAGGTGAGCCATTCGTCAATTTGCATATCGCATCGATCGACTTTACCAGCGATCGTAATGGCCAACTATTCACCTCATAAGTGACTTGAACGCGGGGAAACAGTTCCAGAGGGCAAATTAATTAATGCGTGCGCGCGAGAACGGTAAAAATGCAATTATTCTCTCGATGCTTCGTTCAGTGGCGGTGTGGAAGATTCGCAAAACGTTTGCGAGATGATAAGTCGAAAGAGATTAGCGAGCATTTTTGTAACATTTCACGAAACGTTTTCTCCGTATTTAATCCGCTGTCTCTCGGTCGCATAGCACAGTCGGGAAGAAATATCGCTCGAAAATATCCACTCGCTGAAAACAGGATTACTTACGTGGCTCCGCGCCCTTCTTTTTTCTTCAGCCGAATCATACGGTCCGATTACTCTGGAATATCTGAATTACGCCGTCGCGCTCGGCGTATACTCGGTAAGATATCCCGCCGTCTTCTGGTCGTGCAACAAAGCATTGGGCACAATCTTCAGTCTGCAGTTGGTCGTAAATTCAGCGCAGAGTCTGCTGGCTTACGCCGGAATGTCCGTCCTTTACAAGGTAAGCAACGCAAAGTATTCGATGCCAGTTAAAACTCGCGAGGAACTTCTCGTTGACGTCTCAGTCCGGCTGGTACACCTGCGTATACCATACCTGCGGATACCAAAGAACTTAATAATAGTAGCGAAGAATCCAAGCAACGTAAGAAACCTGCAGAAATATACATCGCAGGACCGGATGTCTGCGTTTTACATGAAGACCCGCAACGATTAATCGCTACAATCGAGAGAGAGGAAGTCTCGTCAAAATTAAAGAAAGAGATTTTCGAGAACAAATTTTTGCAACAAACAGATTTTTAAAGAGGACGGGTTCACAAGATTGTACAAAGATTTGTAAGGGAGAAATATTCGAGCCGTAACGCAAACTTGGAATATTAAAAGTCATCTACTATGGGATTGATAGCAAATAGTAAAGCATAAGCAGTAAGCAAATTGACCAACCACAGTCGATTATTCTTGTAATAATCGACTGCGAACTGGTCAATTTGCTTACTGCTTATGTCTTACTGTCTACCGCCAATTCCATTGTAAATGGACCTTTACACACGGAGAGAATCTTATAATAAAAATTATAGAATTATAGAATTTTGCAGTCGAGTAATAGATTGACATTTTGTACTAATTGGTTAACCTTTTATTTCATATGTGCTACTTATATTTTAGGAACTCTCGAATGTATTATTAAAAAATTTGCAATGTTTCTAGCAAAATGTACTACTATGTTCCTTAATATAATAGATCTGACAATCTACTCCTGCATTATTAAAGAAACAGTAAAATCGAAATGAGTGTCTATGATATAAAAAAAAACTATAATATTCTCTCTGCGTATAATTTATTTTTTATTCCATGACATCACTTCGAGAGATTGTCATCGTTGAGTGCAAATAAAACGAACTTTTCGTTTGCGCGTCGTCAAAGGAAATAATTAACGCCATATTCCACCATATCCTTATTTTATTCTCAAATTTTTTTTTTTTTCTTAGCAATCGTATTTATTGAATAAACTTTTATAAATTTATTGAATAAACTTTTTATAAATTTATTGAATTTTATTGAATAAACATGCGTCTTTGTAGGTGCAAGTTGTGGGACCCTTGAAAGTTCTGCCACTCCTTCGGCACCGCACGGTAGCGACCACTAGTACGATTTCAACGATATTCGGCGACTCCTACTTCCTGCTGAATCCCCACGTAACTCTCGTGCTCTTCGCCCTCTCGTCCCTCCTTGTGCTCTGCTCCAGCATGGTCATGTACTTCTATGCCCACGGCAGGTAAATATTTAGCGTGTTAAGCGCGGCGGGGCTTATTCAGTCCCGTATCTAATCGATTCAATTCTGGTTGAGATTGCCCGCCGATTCTGCAACAAAAATGATCTGGCTCAACCACTGCTATCAGATAACGGCGAATAAACGTGGCTCTCTCCCTCCTTTCTCTCTCTTTCTCTTTCTGCCCCCTCCCTCCCTGCCACCAAAGAGAATTATAGATGTATTATCACGTGAGGGCGTGTTACACCGGAGCCGCTTATCAGTGAATCGTTTTACGGAACGATCTTAATATCTTGTTTTAAAACGCCAGAGCGTTATAATTATTTTTGCCGCAATTAGTTCATGTCTCTCCTGAGACTCGCGCTCGTCGCAGGGCGCGAGACCCGCCATCTCTATCGCGAATTCGAACGACCCCGTAATTTCTTTTTTTCCATGCCTTCCGTTTATCCGGGCTTTTATTTGACTTGCTAATTTGCTAATTTGAAACAGCACTTGTACGCACAAGACGGCGGGCCCAGGCGGCGTGTCTCCCCCGATACTGTCATTATTCAGTATAAAACTCAATGGCTTCCTTAATACCGATCTCCTCTTTCCTCGGAGGCTTTCCGTGGCATAGAACAAAGGATAGCAATTAACAATATCGCAGCGTATCTCTTGCCGCTTTTACCTTTGAGAGATACGGCGGGAGAAAAGGGACAGGGATGTAAAGTTTTCATGTAATTTAAAAAATGAAAAGATCGTTCGATAGACGATAGACTAAGAGACACAATAATAAGTTTAATTATATTCGTAACTGTCAATCTCTAAGCCTTTACCATTCTGCAATTCGAAAGTGCTTTGTGTAAATGCAAAAAGTTGATTTAATAGTGTTATGGGGAGAATAAAATCGAACGGATTTCCTCGAGACTTTCCACAAAAGCAACGCCCGCGGGAGATTAATTGAATTTCGCAATTTCGCGCTATCGCGTCGCGTAACTTTTGCAATACAAGCGTATTACTACAAATGCGTATAGAAACACGATGATTCGCGAATGAGTTATTATCGCGGATCTCTTCATTCTCCTCGTTTCGAAATGTCGCCGCATAATCGAAATAACGCTCCGATGTTCGTTCTCGCGTTTATCGATTTAAAATACTATTATCTCGCTATGCAGTTTCCCGCAGAATGAAACTGCTCCCTCCTCCTCTCCCTCTACTCTCGCTTTCTCTCTCTATCTATCTATCTATCTATCTATCTATCTATCTATCTATCTATCTATCTCCCTCGAGGCACAGGGACAGTTGCGAGTGCGTTATCTGGCTTGCTGTGGCCAATTATAAATATAAACAGCGATATTACATGTGCCTGATCGCGCGACATACGATGCACGTAGGTTCACGGCGTTCCTGAATCAAGAGCGCGAACGTCGCGTGATCCTGCCGAAGGACGGCCGCGAGGGCAACGGCTGGGTCTACTTCACGCACTGCACCGCGTTGTGCGTGTTCCTGGCGATCGCGATCTGCAGCGCGCCGTTGCTCTACGACTACACCGTGGTGTACCGCGGCAGCCTGGACGGCGCCATCCTCGCCTGCATCATCGGCACGATCCTCCACCTCTTCCTCTGGCTGCTGCTCTGGATATTCCTCACCGTCAAGCAACGCTGGACGTTCAAGCTGCGCGTCACCATCGGACGCGCCACCGTCAGGTCCGCCAGGTCGGTGAAGCTCGTCACCGACGTCGACCTGCTGTCGGCTAGGGACGAGGAAGACGGCACCAGTGCGCCTCTCCTCGTCGTCGGTAATGGCAGGACGTACACCATCGCCGATACCTCGCCGAAGAAGGCCATCATGAGCGTCATACAGAAAGCTGCGATGGAGAGGAAAGCGCGATCACAAGGTAATGAATATTACCAACAAGAATATGTACCTTCAGAAGCCCGGCAGCTCGGGTTTACATCCTTACCGGGAACGTGTATTTTCAGTCTTTGCATACGCGGAGAAAATGTTGTAACGAAAATTACATTAAAATTGTTTCTTTTTACAGTGTTTTTTGCTCCCGACCAACTATTCTTGAAATTATATTAGTAATACCTATAAAACTAATAAATTTGACAATCTATCAAATATATGATGTAAAAAGCATTCAAGTAATTACAATCATTTATAGCAAAAAGCTAAACGTGCGTAAGATTTTTAAACAGACATACAGTAACGTATATGGTCATAATTCTGTATGGTCTAAGGATTACAAAAATTTTGTTGTAAGTTTTACTAGAATAGTTTCTTTTTCTCTTTTTTCTCTGTGTATAACGCTTGCTACGCATCACGCAAGTCTCAAATAAACATCGTTCGCCTTGCATAATCGATTCATATCCGAGGATATAAGAACGTTTAGTTCTCTCTTTTCCTTACGTGTGCTTCTTGCACTAAGCAATTCCATGACATCATAAAGCGTGACTTTGAAGCTGTACGTTTGTTTTAATCGAGAAGAGAACTGCATGTGGAAGCTGTGCCGCGCGTAAAAGGGGACGAGCCGTGGGGCTTAAAGTCTGATCGATCGAGAGTACGCACGGCTAATACCCGGGAACAATTTATCGACTTTTGCGCGTACTTTGCAGGCGGAAACGTCGATGGAGTCGACGGGGAATCGACGGCCGACGGTGACGAGCAGATCTACTGGCTCAGGCCAAAATTGCGCCCCTCGCCCGCGCAATCCCCGAGCGACACCGGCGGCGCGCCGACGTCCGACAAGGGTTGGCTGAACAAGAAGCTGAAGCCTAAGGTCACCTTTAACGACCTGCCTAGTACGTCAGGCTCGCGGTAACTACCCTCCTCCCTCCTCTTGGTGTCTTTGTGTATCTGTTTTTATATGCTTGCGACGCTCTGCTCTCTCGCACTCACGCACCTGTGACACAAGCAATACTTATCTCCACGCTTCTTGTCGTGCTCGAAAGCATTTGATACGGAATTCGTTTTGGAAGAGAATTCAAAAGTATCCATTTTCTTTCCTGTACATTTTCGTGATCAAGAAATACCGAAAGAAAGAAGTTGTACGGAATATCGAGACGCTTGGGCTTGATTTCGATAAAGCTCAAAGACTTATTGGAGCTGTCCTTTCTATCCGCGTCTTGCTACGCGCAAGATGTTCATCCCGAGTATGATTGGCACGTGCAATTGTGCTCTACCACTCTACTACACTTGCTTCTTCTTTCTCTGCTTGATATTATCTCAACGCTTCGTCTGTGTAAATATCAGATTCGAGAATTTCAGGCCGGGACTGTCACCGAAACACGCTTTCTTATTTGAGATCGGTATTTTCTGCGTGCGTCAGATCGCAAAGCTTCCGTGAACTCGTACTTATTTCGCCTACATGTTTGTCCATATCTATTCCGCTTGATATATTGTATCCAAACTCACTCTGTCACCATTTCTCTCTATCTTTCTTGGAACTTTGAGCTTTGAACTTCGCCGGCGATCGTTATATCGTCGCGTAACGTAGCGAGACACCTCTCTTGATTGTTCTCGACTGATTTTGCAGTAATAAGGGAAAAGCCAGACGAGGCGTCACTGACGGCGGGCCTGATGATGACGGAGATTACGCCACGTTACGCGAATTACCGCTAATCACCTCGATGGACCCAGCCGACGACTCCACCTCCGAAGAGAACAAGGTAAACTATGCGTATCTCGGTACCTTACATATCTCGATAAATTCGTGATTTGCGAGTGAAAAGCATACTTTTGCCACATGCGTGCAACACTGAATTTTCTTTGCATAGAAAATGTCTCTCTTAAAGATCGAAAATGTTAACGAGACAACCGCGACGCTCGCCGATCCTCTTTCGATTTGCGAGTTCGTTACTTATCACACTTTGTAATTGGACGGTGCGATACGGAGAAAACGTTCTACTCACATCACCGCGTTCTGTTTCACTGCACCGAATACGCTTTCGTCACACTTCCTGCCGCTTTTAATTTAGAGATATTCTTTTCGCATTTGACAGTGGACGAGATGGCCGATAACACGTAGGGACGGTATACCTAAATTCCGAAACGTAAGACACGCACAAGATTATATCTTTTTTTCTGTGCTTCGGCGTAATACCGATTAACTGCGTGTATGTGTGTGCTCTGCGTCGTCACTAACAGATCTCACTCACGGTGATGCAATCGATTCGAATAAGTGGACAATGAAACGCCGGTTGATCGATTTATAAAACGTCCGCGATGTTATTGTTGCATAGTACGTGCAAATAAATTTCTGAGTTATAACCGATAGATGTGTAAATATGATATAAGAATCTCATATACAACGATAACGATAAATATTTTACGTACGAATTATTTTGGCTTTCGATATATTTCTTTATCGGTGTATGTGGTAGTCTATAGAGTGACTTTTAATTGTTATAAATTAGTTGACTCTTAGAGTAACTTTTAATTGATATGTGTAACTATATATATATATATATAGAAAGAGAGAGAGAGAGAGAGAGAGAAAGAGAGAAAGAGAGAAAGAAGTAGACATATCCACTTGAACATTTACACGTACGCTGAAACAGCTACGAAACCTTCGCGCAGCTTGGCAATTAGTCGTGAATAGTTGGCAGTTTTGTCGCAAAGCTCGACTACAGAGTACGAACACACGGAACAATTGTCCCAATCTTTGTCCACTAATATTCTCGTCGCTCGGCATGAAAGTGAAATCACTCCTGGTTTGCTCGAAGCAGGGTTCGCGCTTACTAACGATGCCGCCCCTTTTGACAGTTGCTCGAGTGCGTGAACGACGATCAAGTGACTTACTACGCGAGTGCGAATCGCGACCTACAACCGTCGGAGGGTGATCCTTCGCCCCTTCTCACCCCCGACCCTCTACCCGATCCCGCGGCAGAACCGCTTCCGCTACCACCTCCGACTCCAACCTCCGCACCAACCACCGAAATTGTCACGGCGCCACTAACTACAAACGCTCAGGTACTAACAACCTTAACACGCAACCGTCTAGCTCACGTAGATTAGAGACGTGGGATCGTCACTGAGCCAGATATCCTCCGTACAATGGAACGTTATTCGAACCGACGTTATTGAAGGAATCGATGTAATCCTCGTAGAATCGCGCACTGACGATCTCACTTCTCGTTAATTTCAATGTTCGTCGCTTTGCATGCGATTCCACACTTCCCCAATATCCAATCGGTCTTCAAAGATTGAAGAGGAAGAAGAAGAATGCGTTTTACTTCATCGAGGAAAATTACGTTTCCTTTTTCTACGATAGACGCGATTTATGTGACGCAATTGTTAGAAGTACGCATAAATAATAATCAAGTATTTGCAAGACTCTTAGTTTTATCAGTTTTCTATCTGAGCTATATATGTAGTATACGGAACAAAATTTGGTTGGATCAACCAAATGTCTGGCGAAATATGAACAAATTAGAATTCCAATTAAAGTTACCAGAATTCTGTTCAAGTTAAAAAGATTCTGGTTAACCAAAACTTGCAACTGTTCAACTCGAAACAGCTGCAAGTTAACCAGAAATTTTGTTTAATTATAGCCAGTTATCTTGTTAACTTGAAGAAAATTCTAATCAACCGGAATTTTGGTTTGTTCATAATTCTCCAGATATTTGGTTGACCTAACATTTCTTTCACGTGCTTTCACGTGCTTTCAAAACAAGCTTTCACGAACGCATGCTATACCATTCACTAGATCGATAATAACTAAAAATTTCCAATTAGATACATTCATTTTTAGCTACATGTTTTTCACGACAGTTGATTAATTCAGCAAGCGAAAATGTATCCACAGCTAATATGATATTTTGACAGCTTGACATTTCGTATACGTCTGTAAAAAAAGGTCACTCACTTCCATGTGACGCGTAATCAATAGAGGAAAAATAAAAATTTTAAAGGAGAGAGAGAGAGAAGTAAGTAGAGGTTTCTATAATTAATTTTGTAAAGGCATAATTGCAATTAAGTTATATGAACTGATTTTTATTGCACGTTACATGGAAGTGAATGATCTCTTTTACAGATGTATACGAAACATCAAGCTATCAAAATATTACTTTGGCTGTGGACACATTCTCGCTTGCTACATTAATCAGCAATCGTGAGAAACGCGTAGCTAGAAACGAACGCGGCGGGCTAGGAATTTTTAATGACTATCGATCTAGCAAATAGTACAACATCCACGTGTTTGAGCGTATATAAACGTATAAGCGTATATTTTTCAACGTGCTATATGTGGACAAGGTCATATTGTTATATCTTTTATCATTGATTACAAAAATAAAAGTTCCATCTACAGACTTTGAAATGTGTTCCATTTTGAAATACTTGATTGTTTATGGGAGTATATCCGTAATACTTGAAAGATATCTTTGCATTGTCCTCCCACATAACACTAGCATCGTACTAGCTCATGCCGTCGCTTTCGCAACGCCGCGGAAGAGTCGTTCTCGCAGCACGTACTCCCGCGAGACGAAGAAGACGGTCGTGTGTACGCGACGCGATCGATTCGCTCAACGAATTCAACCCGCGACGAAACTTTGCAGATGAACGGTGGTCAGACGCCGCGTTGCCTGCGCCGTGCGGACTCCGGGATGCCGCACGACGAGCTGACACCGCGCTCGGACTCGTCGAACTCACCACCCCTTGACGCGGTGGGCGGCGGCGCCGGCTCAGTGACCGGCCACAGCAACACCAGCAGCAACAGCGAGACGTCCAGCGGCGTGCACAGTAACGCGAGTAACGCCAGCAACGCCAGCCACAGCAGCTCCCAACGTCGGGCGACCAGCGTGGACGACCTGACCGGGGAACCGCGCGAAGAACCGCGCGAGCAGTGGCGCAGCTGCTCGCTCCAGCGAGGAACGCAGCCGCCCACGGCGAACAGCACATTTTCACCTCCCAACAGCCGCCCCGGCACCAGCCAGTCCTTCTCCTCGCCGCAGTACGTGAACCATGTGCCGCCGTTCAGCAATGCCGTCAGCAACGACATCGGCGTCGGCTGTCCAGCAGTCATCTTGGAGAACCCGAACGAGGCGACGGTCGTGATCCGCCGCAAACTCTCGAGAACGAAGCTCACGGATCCGTTGAACCCGAACGAGGAACCGTTCGGCCGATCCACCAACATGCGGATGACCTCCTTCACGGAGAGCAACGACATCCGCATACAGGCTTCCTCGGCGACCCTGCCGCACTACCCCACGCAGCCGATCGTCACGTATCCGCACTGTTCCACGATGCCGTTGCCCCATGCGTCTCACAGCGTGGCAGGCGTGAACATGAGCGGCGGCTCCACCGGCAGCTGCGGCTCCGTGCCGCGACACACGTTCGTGCCGCCGCAAGTACACGCCACCGTGCCAGCTCACACGACGCTACCGTCGCATCACAACGGCGTCAGGCTACTTCACGGCAGTGGTGGCGGAGGTGGCGGAGGTGGCGGAGGCAGCGGCGGCAGCGTTGGCGGCGGCGGCGGTAGCGTTTGTGGTCCCAGCAATCCGTTCGTCAAGAGGTTCCCGCCGGTGCAGCTGCACACCCAACCGTGGGCGCTACCAGGCCACCACACCTTCCCGCAGCTGCCGCAAGGCAACAACAAGCTCTCCGCCACCGCGCAGATCAGACAGAGCGATCGGGACTCGGCGAACTTCTCCATGGCCAGCAGCGGCGATTCCGACACGTGTTTGCCGCATTAAAGCGGGCGCGCGAGCACCATGAGAACCACTGCTGGCTTTAGGCGTTATTATTAGGGGATATGCGCGCGTGCGAGTCACGCCGGCCAACTCCGGACTTGTCGGGCGTCTGAGTGTGTTTTAGGTGATACTCGGTATTTTCGTAATTGACATTTCGCCGGTGAACGGAGGGGATCGCGGTCACCCAGCAGCGTTTCTCCTCCGGAGGTTTCTTCTTCGAGGGCGGCTGAGATTGATCGATCGAGACGCGACGGTCGGAGAAGAGGTTTGCGCGAACTCGAGACGAACTGTGTGCATGAGTACTCCGCTTCGGAATCGATAATAGATCTTTAGGCGTCGCGCAATATTGTAATCGTGCATAACGTGCCGCGTTTACCAGGTATGAGTCATATGAGGGATCATATGATGAGCACACTGTGTCTTACACACGCGTCGAAATTTAAAGGAGGAGAAGTCAGGTTCGAGGCAATACAACATATCACACACATTTGCCGTTTATTCGCGTATAAATATGGCATTCCTTGATATCGCTACCTCTATTTTTTATAATCTTGTCCAACACGACACGTCGGTCGGATCTTACCTGATTATTTAGATAGATGTGCGTGTCCAATGTGGTATTAACGTAGAGTCTATCGCATATGAATCGCGTACGAACATGAAAATTCCATTCGTTTGAATAAACGGCAAACGTGGACAATGTAGAGACACGTGAGGAAGACGAGGAGAGCGCGAACGACCATCACGCCACGAATAGCTTACGGAGGCAATTGATAATTACATTAAAAGCACCAATTCCGTTATACATATCCTATATGTTGTGATCCCCCTTTAAATCTCTAATCTCTCGCAGCAATAAAACGAAATATTCGAAGCTAATAGTGATAAATGGTAAAACAACAGTTGCTCAGTCTCGAGGAGTCCTCATCCTGGTTAAGGCGCGTGAAATCAAGTCACGATTAATTAATAAGTATAAGTAATAAACTCTCTGCTCGAGTTTGCGCAAACGTCTCTCGGTGCGCGTCGATGCGTGCTTATAGTTAAAATCATTTCCATTCTATTATCTCGACGTACGAGGGAGATAAACGCTTCGCGTGTTTCGAAAATGCCGAGAACTATCATCGGCAGGCGAGAGTGAGAATAACGTAGTTATCCCATTTTAGGTATGGAAAGAAAAAGTTATCGTGTTGTCCTAAATAAAATTCGTGTATAGAGTGAAATAAGGATAGTCGGTTAAGGAAATGTGGAAAAACTCGAGTCGCTACTTCGTAAGCGTACGCTTCTATATTTAAGATCTTTTTTCTACCGATAACTACTGTGTAAATTTTGTTAAAACATATTTGTGTATATTGCTGATTGTTTGTTTATACCGCGACTCGGGCGAGTCGCTTTTTTAACTGCGATAAGGTGAACAGCGAACAAGAGTTCTCACGTTTGAACGCCCGTTCAAAACTGTGCGCGTTCAAACTTTTTTTGTCTTTCATTCGCTCTTTACTATCTCTTTCTTTTCCCTTTCCTCTCTACATATATATATACTTGTATAGATCTGTCACATCGAGTTTGTCATCGAGATAAGTGTTTATTTGTCCGCGAATCTCTCTTATATGAGTTGTACGTTTATAAATGTTATGATGCGCAAGCGATTTTTGTATGAATTATACCGTACCGTAGGAGAACGCGCAGTGCCGATTGCAGTCGTACGATCTACGGCCTTGACGAGATTTTTACGGCACACGTTAGAACTTTACCGTCACGTTGAATCTTTCTGTGGCCTGATAACGAGATACCACAGTCCTTGTGGTAGTCGTGTCGTAAAACTTGCAATGTTAACAGTGCCATCGCGGAGTTAGTAAGCACACAATCAGCATAGAGATAGGAACGGTACTTTGTTCCATAATAATAAGCAGGCTGCTCATATCGTTGATGCTATGAGTAACAGCCGAAGACACTCTATCGCGACGATAACGTGTGCTATTTATTTACCTGTGAGAGTACCCAGCATTTCTCTATCATGTAGTCTGATATTCTTCGTTACGATCGTTGCGCGAAATACGCGACCTTCTACTCTGATTCCTTCTCTTCTCATTATCGACGATCTCTCTTTGTTGGTACGTCATTTAAGTCGAACGAATATTTATTTTTACGCTCGCAAATTGCACACAAAAGAATCATTAGCGCATTTATCGTAAGGAAAGAAGGAAGCGCGCGCGCGCGCGCGCGGTCTATCGCGCGAGAAACGGAAGTTTAAAGGAACGATTACTGCCACTAATCGTGAAGATCAACAGATCTCCATTGTATTTACTTGTTTCGTCGACTGCCATGTTATTTCGTCCTTTTGTGGAGTATAAATAATCACCGTGCTCGTTTTTACTCGTACCTAGCGCATTTACTTGCGCGTTCGCTGACTGGTACGTGCGCGACAAGCACCGTTCGCTCTATGTATAAGTTGCGTTCTTTCGCGACTATATATCACTTCATGAGACGCGTGATGACGCAGAGACTGGTCTCTCGCGAAGATGCATCACATCTCCCCCTCGAGCCTCTCTCGCAATCTAATGCGGCAGACAGTGTCAGGCGACATGGCGCGACCCAACGTTTGCACCTCGCGTCACACTATGGGCGCGATACGTTAGACGCCGCAAGCACTTTCAAACGCTTAAAGAGAAGCCACGATTGGTCCATGCGGCGCTTCAAAGTATCTGCAGCGTCTGATGGATCACACCCTCCATCGCACTCGTTTACAATTCTCCAAGAGGATCACTTTTGCGGAGAGAGGGACACTCGAAAAGTCAATATTACAAATCGAATCGTCCGCCCAGGTATAATCCGCCATTTTTCCTAAAAAAAAAATGCATTCCACGAATGGCAATGCATGCCGATGATTTGTAATAATTCGCGATATAATCGAATTTGTTTCCGCGACGAGACGAATTCGTTCATACGTGAGTCGATACGACACTTCGTTAGATTGCGACGGGCGAAAGAGGAAAGTGCAGAACTCTGATGTAGTAAGTTGGATTCGGGCAGGCGGGTAAAGTTGCGTTGTAAGCGAGAGATCGATTGCGAAACCATTCGACGAGTAAGGCGCAATGATGAAAAGTATTATCAGACGAGTGCGGTCTGGTTTGCAAGTCTATCCGAATGATACGAGATGAGATTCATGTCAATTTACAGAATCTTTTCGAAACGATCTAAACTTAGAATTAATTCTCCTTCGCGCGATTATCAAACCGTCAGTAATCTCATGACTGTAAGCGATCACTGTAAGTGTTATCATTGTTCCACGTCACGTTACGATACATTATGAATTCTGTATAAAATTTGCTCACTGTTTCTGGTTGGTTCGAATGAGCTATTACATATTAATTTAACATAAATGCAGAGATACTTTCTCATAAACAGCGAAAACGCAACGTGCGCAACGATGAGCGCAATGATGAGCATGAAATAGTATTATTACGGTTGTACGCTGATTGATTGGCACATCACGTGCTCACGATTAAAAAGACTTTGCGCATTCCGTGAAGGTGACTTACCGATAACCAAGAGAAAGTATGAGTCCCCTCGCGACAATGTGTGTGTTCTCTCGGGACTCACACTTCTCTCGGACAACGTTGAGACAATGCAATTCTCGAGAAACGAAACGGGTCTTTATTTTCCGGTATCTTCCAGTTGTACTAATAATAGCGATACGAAATGTTCTCAGCCTTGTTCTTAAAATGTTTTCCGTCAACGCGCGAGTTGTTGCGCGAGCAAAGATATTAACAATTCGCCGAGTCTCGAGAGATTTATCCTGAAGGAAAGAGAAACGAGAGTATAGAGCGCGCTTTCCATTTACTTAAGATACTACACGAGAAAATGTGATGCGTAATCCGAGTGCAAATCTAGTGGGTTGTAACGGCTGATCTTGGTCTACTGTATCAAGCATACTTCGTCTTACTGTAGTTGTATTAGAGCGGTATTTAGACACTCGCACGAGCTTGTATCGGCCGTCTACGAGATGTCGGGATACTCGCGGCGCGTCTGACTCCTGGGTTCCGATTCCGTTGTGACGCAGACGATACAAAATAGCGCGTCGTCTTATACCGAGACACGAGAAAGCACCTGTCGACCAGGCACAAAGAGATCGACCAATCGATCACGAGCGGCAAGTCGGACACTTTTCTACGACTTAGCGAGCGCTTTGTCATTGCCGATCGTACATATCATCTCGCAAGGACCATGCATCTCGCGATGACATTTTTGAGAATACTCAAGCAATAGCACGAAGCATCGATATCAAGGGCTGGACCAGACTTCTTAACGATCAATGAGCTCTGATAATACCCGACGCAGTACGAAGATATTTTTTAACGGCTATTTTCGATACGCTAGCAGACGTGATAAAAGGAGGACGGAGATAATTTTTTTAGGAAGAGAGAGTTTGAAGTCTAAATTTGGGGGAGGGAAGCTCATTCGGTCTCCTGATCGTAGTCCCGCGTATAGTCCACTGTGTGAACGCTCTCTACCCTTGATTCTGTTTCGAAGTAGATACTTAACTCGCTAGGATCACGTATTATCCTCTTAATGCAAGTGCTTCGGCATAACACTCTCTTCCACAAATCCGCGAGCGTTATCGAGAAATCTTCACAAATATCCTTTGATCTATTAGTTTGATTACTATTTATTTGTCGTAAGAAACACGAGTGAAGAAGAAGACCTGATTTTATACAGATCAGAAAGTTCTTTCATATAATTTTTAAATTCTTTTTCTTTCAATATATGTAGAGAATTGATTTCCTACTCCTCTATATAAATCTTACGTTTGCGTTCAAATACACAATCTTCTAAGTAGCATCCTACAATTTATCAAATGTATAATGGAGGTTTTTCCGATAACGTGAGCTCGCGTACACACAATCGATGCATTCTTGATCGCGCCGTCGCAACCGCCACTGATACAATATTTGCGAGATGCACACAGCAGCGGTAGTAGCACAAAGAAAAATCCTATCTTTTGATAACTGCACCACGAATACGGCAGATATTGCTGCGGCGTAATCGCGACGACCATCATAGAAAATAGTTATCGTCGTCAGTGGGGCACGCGTCCCGATGTGTTATCATTCAAGACACAACACCTCCGCGACTCTAATATACGAAATCAAATTAAAAATACGAAACAAATTCGTCTGCTTTTTCGTATAACATATGCATGTTTCATTCGTTTTTGAGATAAATATCAAATTACTCGTTATTACTCTGCCCCTTTCCGCCTCTTCTCCAGACAGAGTGTCGAAAATTCTCACATTTCACCGTTTTATTCATATCTGTATGCAAAAACTCCACGCGAGCCGGAATATTCGTCAATGTCGTACGTTCGTGTGTTTCTGAATGAATCACGGTGAACACACTTGCCCCACTTTCGACGACTCTGCTTCGTTTACACTTGCGTGCGGTTAAAATCACATTAGTAGTCGTCATCGACGTACGCGAGAAACAAACGCGGCGACGAATACAAAAGCTGCCTCTCGCAGAAATATTTTTTTACCGTCTAGTGTGTCAGCGTACTCTAATTCGTTTTAGATCCGGCTAGAGGAACCTAGACGTAGGGTGTGATCGTAGGCAGTCAAGGGAGGCTCCGCACCGGAGGTGTTTCGAGAGCAAAGAGCAGCAAAATCTCTATTGCCGTGACGCGCAGCCCCAAGAATCGTTCGTACCTTAACCCGTCAGCGAGCACACATATACACACAGGCAATTTTAATAATTACAACGTAAGCCACGTCACACTTAATTATCATAGAGATACAGTTATGTCGACATATATTCTCGTCTTGCATCGTGATACGAAAGAAATCTCGCGTGAGAAAACAGTGCGATAATGATAGCATCGGGCACTAATCAGCATTCTGATGAGGGAATAATCTTCTTAAGATCTTCGTGAACGTAAGACAACATTAACGTGAAAATTATGACTTACATTCTGACATCAGATTTCTTATCGTTGTTGAAACCAAAAAAATAGACAAATTATGATTAATATTAATATTACTTATTATTAATATTAATATTATAGTTATTATTATTAAATAATAACTAACATTATTCAATGCCGAGCTTTATTAGGCAAAAATCGAAGACATAAATCTAGATAGTAAAATCGAGATAATACAACGCAGGATACACACATCTTCAACAATTAACATTGATAAAGTCTCTTTAGACAGGGTTAAGGTCACGAGATCAACGTCATGACATCAAGGTCCGACAGTAAAATTGGCTGATCGAAATTGCACTTTTTTTTTAATTTTTGTCATTTTTTAATCATTGATCGCGCGCGGAAGCCCTTTTCCAGGTTCCACCTGAGCGAGAGAGCATTGCAGAAAGAGCCGGTCAGAGCCCTCCAAAGAAGAGTCGCGTCCCAGGGGCGTATGTATAACCGCGAGAGAGTGCTTAATGTGTCATTATCGACAGAGAGAACACTGTAAATAATCGAAAATAATATTCATGTTGAATGAAGAGAGAGAAAGAGACCATGAGTGTGAGTAAATGCGTGCGTGAGTGAGCGCGAGCGAGACGGACACATAATACAGCGAATGTGTACGAATAATTGTATAAAGACTGATTAGATTAGCCTTGGTATTTATTCGAATTTAACGATTAAACGCTATCGCTTTGCGCGCCCTAAGATACTCACGGAGCACGATGCCAAAGGTATTCTTTTCCTGGCGAACCACCTCGTCTCCTATTTGCTTTTGTTTTTCACTTAAACGAGCGGTAGAATCAGCATTATCGATCACGCGCTTTGATTTCCTCTTCATTGCTCCACTTTCCATCTTCTCCCACCAAGATCCGAAGCGTAATTCGGCTTTTCGCGCCTCGCACGACTTTCCTGAGATTCCCCGAGGAATCTACACTGGCCTACAGTTCGTCCCAGAGAGAAACGTTCCTTTACTCGCCCTGCGGAACGTTCGCTTCGTATCGCTATTCCGTTTCGGCCGCACACGCCTGTTTTAGCAGATGACAGTCTGATGATTTAAAAAAAATGAGAGAAAGAGAGCGAAGGCTGATGGTATATAGAGATCCGATGTGTTAATATGTTCCGAACGAGTCTGTGCGTTACCTCCGTGCACGCTTCGATTCTCTTTTCCTTTTTTAGTAACCAACGATCCAACACGTTCTCTCAACATCGTGCTCGAATACGTATGAACGCAGCAAAGACAGAGAGAAGAATGACATTGCGCGGTTATAACAGCGACATTATTATCGTCACAACGTATCACTATTATTCAATGCATCGTATAAACCAGTAAACTAAATGTAAACTTTGTATATTCATTTACTAAGAGAATAAAAGTAAATTATTCGATGAATAAACAACTTGACGCAATCGTCTTCCCATTCCCCGATCGACTCCACAAGAGTGGATAAGCTGAGAGAGTTTGGGCGCACGCAATTAAGTATTTCCGAAATCCTGAGTTCTTTGAATCTTATTTTTATTTTAAGTGACAAGTTATTCTTGTTGACAGATCATAGTAATTACAATAATATGTAAAAATGAGAGCCTTATTAAAAATATTGTACTTTCGGGAACGATAAATGATGCACATCATTGGTTTTAGTGCAGACGAGACGGTATTTGCGGAAAAACAAGTTACGTATTCTCCGTAACAAGTTAACAAAAAGAAACAGGGAGCTCGCATACAAGCCGAGACAGTCATGACAATTGAGAGTGCAAAATTAAGAGTTTATAGGAGTCATGATAGAGATCTTTCGCGGAGACCCCGGAACTAACATTGGTATTGTGTAAAATTTCGAGTAAACTAAAGAAAATCGCTATACAATTGTGATATTTATAATTAGGATAATAATCCGAAGAGTGCTACAAAGCATTTTTAGGAAAGAATGTAAATAAAAATGATCTAAATTATTTGAATAAATAATCGCGACTGAAGTGCGATACGAATATATATTTTAATTTATTATACATTTTTAAGGACTTAAATGGTATGCAACTTTCGTCAGCGTGTCATTCCTCGCTTCTGACGTCACAAATTCGATATGACGAGGTACAAGGAGCCTTAAGACTTCTGAGTAGTCAGCCGAGAACTCCGCGTTGATGGTAGTTGAAAACGGTAAGATGATGAAATATTAGGTGAAAAAAATTAATCTGTCAGTTTCCGAAGAACTTCTGCACTAATGCACACTATTTCAATAAAAGAGAGATAAAGTGAAAGAAAGTATATTTGCCTCTTTCTACAAATTTATTGCACCAGTGCAAAAATTGGTCGAAAACGAATAGACGTAACGATGTAAACAGACGATTAATTTTTTCCTGCAAACCACAGCGTTACTATTGAATGTAGTGCGTGTATGTCACACGTGACACAATTGTAGAAGTACGGAAATGCTCCAGACACTATGCTTATTGTGATATTCAATGCGTACAAATAGTTCTTACAGTCATATTCGACATCGAGTCGCACGAATAACTTCTTGTTAAAACGAGACGATTTATCGCATTTATTTTGCGATTATGTAAGAGTTATTTCGGCAAAAGAAGAGCATTTCACAAGTATACAAAGTAGATTGCGAGTGTCATTTGAATAAATTTATATCTTTTTATTTAACCATGGTTTACAGGAATTTTGGGCATAGTTTTCCTCGCTTCTGACATCATCAATCCAACATAGCCGCGGAGACTACTCAAGAGCTTTAAACGAGTTGTTCATTTATTGCCTGAACGCGAGCGTTGAATGAGCGCAACAGTATATTCACAAACCTAACATTAGCGCTTGCACTCTTCTCAATTCTGAAAAAAATATGGATATTATAAAATAGCTTACAATTATATAATTATATCAGGAATTGAAGAAAATATATTCATAATAAAATAGAGATAAAAAGTATAAAAACGATTTCCATTGCTATGATTTCGTATAAGCGTTATAAAAATCAGTTATTTACCTTTTAATAGTACTTGCACGTCGTCTTTCGAGATATTTATAGTGGAATCTTCCTCATGGCCGTAATACTTTTTCAATTTTAATGTTACGGTGGAAACGGGCGATGCGCTATCGCAAGGCAGTACTTCGATAGAGGACACGCGACTGACTGAAAAAGTAAATCATGAGTCAATTTTAACGCAAACCAGAATTCTGAGACAATCGAAGGATATTGCTAAATGTAAAAAAAAAAAGAAGAAAAAAGTCGACAAATTTATATCATCAGGCTCCGATTTCTTCAAGACCAGAGAATTAAATTCTATATTTCCTGAATTCAACCTCGTAAAAATGGAATATCTCTTCTTTCAAACATCAGATCTCACCTCTCAAAGATTGAGACGAAAGAACAACCGCGATCTGAGGACAATGAGTAGTATGAAGTCTTGCCACGGCAGTGCTGTGCTCTCGTGGAAGCCCCAATTGTTGCAATTCACTGTTCAAATCGGCGGCGGAAACGCTGTATCGGGCGGAAGATGTAAAGATCAATTCGAGCGCAGCTACCATCGCCTTCGCGTCACCTATATCTGAAAGTAGAACGAATATCTCTATACCTTAGTTTCGAATTAACACAGTTGATTGCCGCTTAATTTAATTTCGTGATTACATCAATAATAGGACACTGAATTACACGCACCGAGGTTAGCGTCTTGCGTGATCTTTTTTACTTTCTCCTCCTAAAAAAAAGTTGATTATAATGCAATTAAAATGATGTGATCGACAAGTACTCGAAATAAAAAATATAATGCATAAAACTTGAAGATAATAATTATTTATCATATATTACATCGAGCATTATGAATTATTTTAAGAAACAATCTGAATTAGAAATATTTGATAAAATTGTCAAGAAGATAACTACTCAAGAAGACAACACACAGCTTTTAAGTCACAATTTATACTTACATTCAGTTCTCCCTCGGTCAGATACTTAGCTACTGTTTGGCCTAGTATTTTCATCTTAATTGAAGTCTGAAAACCGAATATTAAATGTCGTTACGTCATAAAAATTATATTACAGCCTGATGAGATATGACAAATAAAATCGTGAATTGAACAATACCATTCGCGAAAGCGTGTTGATCTCCGCCAGTAACCAGTCTGGACAGTCGCCATCGCCAAGGAATCTGAATTTCTAGCATGAAACACAATCAGTTACGAAAACGTTAAACGGATTTAGTAATCGACGACTCAAACAAGTAATATCACACTAAACACTTGTAGTTGTATTTTATTTATTCACTAAAAAAAACAACTTGCATCACGACTTTATAAATTAAAGAATCTTACCATTTTTAGTACCTCCTAATATCTCGATCGTTCGATGCCTTCCTCTCACCTGGAAGTCACATCACTCGTAATTATTAAACATAATTATTACAAAAAAAATCTCTGTTCATGATAAATATATCTACGAATTTTACACGAAAGAAAAAGAAAGAAGCGACGTGTAATATAAAAAAAGAGATGGAATTGTTCTTCTCCTAGAATTCCAACGTGAGTTCCAAACAATAAGTAAGTTATTCTTTACCGTGATACACAATTACTCTTCGAATTATTACGTAGCTCAGAATACAAAATCTCGAGTCCGCCCTGCTGCCCCGCCCTTCGGAGAAATATTTAATCAACGTCACGTTAAAAGTCACCGCCACGTGGAGATCTCTACGCCAGACCAATCATACCGGGCGTCCGCCACGCGAACTTCTCCGCGTCCATCTGAGCGTGTACACCCTCGGGGAAAACAGCGAGACTCCTCGGCGAACTTTTCCACCGTAACGTTCCGCGATATATCCACGTTCCTTTCTCGCACCGATATAATGCTGCCAACAGTAAGTATCACGACGTTGAGACGCCGGACTCTCAGATGGACGTCAGGATGTTTGCGCTCGTCGGCGGAGTAGATTGGCGTGGGTATCCGCGCCAGGTGAACGAATTCCCCATGCAATCCGCCTAATCCTTCGGCCGCGACGACGTGTCCTATGGGACTTTCGGCCAACGGACATAAATACCGCGAGTGCGGTCGGCCTACCGTCACTCTGCTTGAGGAAGTCGCGAACGCCGTTCGGAACGAACGCTCGTCGTCAACAGGTGCACGCCGCAACAGGTAAGAAGAGACACACCCGGGATACGACTTGGAGGATAATGAGTAGACACTTTCTCATGACGATAATTAACGGAAAATGAAAAGAAGAAAAGAAGTTAAATCTTCCTATACACGCGATCATCCATATTTATAATAATTAATCCTTCTATACTTAAAGCCTAATTAAGTTACAATGCTACACAGACGATTATTATGCAGCACTTTTTACACAGCTATGCGAGTAAATTTGGAATATTCATTTTTGCTGTACAACTTGATAGAAATTTGACGTAAAAGCAGATAGAAGGTTGATCGTTTCATAAAAAAAAGAGAGGGAGAATTGGGTGGAAAATAATCCTGAATTGGGTGGAAAATAATCTTGTAACCGTGACGCGCAAATTTGCTCAAGTCTATTCTAGTTTCCGCCCGTATGCTTACGACACAATCAACCCGGAGACAGTTTGAGTGACATTGCTACGTCATCGACTACAAAGGAAAATTATGCTGACGTCCGTGACGTACTTAGTCAATCAATATAAATCAATAAAGGGAATTCTCCGAAAGATTACTATATAAATAAGTTACTACGGATTAACTTTTTCTCAGCGTCGAATAAACATCCACATAAATTATCTTTTCAGCAATGAGGAAGATACTTCTGGCCACGACTCTGCTGTCGATAGCAATATCAGAAGATATTCTGGTAAGTGTACTGATATCTTAAAATTAATAAAATATAATAAATAATATAAATAATAATATAAATAAATTAATATCTTAGAATCCCGGATTGAAACAACGTGATCTGTCTTTCTAAATTGAATAAATAAAACCAATATAAAAAATAAATAACAAGACAAGTAATCGCAATTTTCTCTAAAAAGTAGAGAGGCGCGGGAAGCGATAGAGTCGCGTAGAAATTATTTGTCTAAAAGAAATACACGAGTGATAAATTAAGTAGTCCTTCTCTATAAAATGCGGTTCTTTTTCATGTCAAGGTGGAGAAGAACTCGAGACTAACGACGTGGATCCGCGAGAAGCAATTCCCGAGCAAGAGACTGAAGCGAGCGTCGCGAGACGACATCCTGTCCGAATTGGAGGATGTCCCAAATTACGACAACGCCGACAGGCAGTTTCTTCGAATCTCGGACCCGCAGTTCATCAAGGAACCCATGCAACCGCCTCCTGTGATCAGGTGACACGATGATTGCAATATTATTTGAGCAGCTGTGCCGGCTCGTTCGTCCGCATAAGCTGAAAATTCCACTGCAATTCTCGGAGCGGCACAAAGATGCGACGAAAGTTGGACGCGCTTCACTAAATCTTCACGTGTGATTTCGTTACAGACGGTCCGATTTGATGCGGATCTCGCAAAATGATCCACTGCCTTTCGACAAATCGAAGCTCGACGACATCAAACCGAAGATCTTGATCTCCATCGGTGTACAGGATAACAGCGCGGCTGGTAGCTCGCAGGAGGAATACTCGACGAGGAAGAACTATCGCAAACACATTCAAGACTGGCAGATGCAGCAGCCGTTCTACGTCGAGGAGCCATACTGGATCGACATCAACACCGACTACACTGAGGGATCAGCTCAGCATCCGGAGGGTGGCGACCCTTACATAATGTCGCGAGGCAAGAAATTCCGGATAAAGAGCCCGGACAAGGAGAAGACGATGAAGGATTACGAGGAGCTCCTCGACTACACGAGCAAAAACAAGAGATTGTCGACGAAGAACCGCGTTCGCAGATCCGTCGGGACAACGGCTGAAGGACTCCAGGGTGATAGCGTCGCCGATAAAAGACGCAATCGGGAGGAGGAGACCAGACGCTACAACCTCCTCCGAGATTTTGACGGAGTTCATATTAGTAAGGTCGCGTCGATCCAAGCGAGAAGTCCCGACGAGGAGTCGTCCAAAACCGACGAGTCGGGCGATGAAAACGCCGAGAAGAGGAAGAATATCCCCGTGAATCCCGCTCATGACATCTTTGTTGAAGAACTCGAGATGGATAAGTCGAGGAACTCGATGAAAGAATCACCGTACGACCGCAAGTTCGTAAAAGGAAATCAAGTTACTGCGAATGACACGCTAATTACAAGCTCCGTCGAGGAAGAGCGGAAAATAGAGCGCAAAGAGATCCCGAGTTATATGGAAAGTGACAACGACGAGACTATAAAGGTCGGCAAGAGATCTCATAGTCATAAGAATCACTTTGTCATTGGCACGAACAATGAGAACGAGAGATACGGGATATTCGTCAAAAGGCACGGCAAGGGCAGAAATCGCAAAATTGATTGGATCAATGCGGACTACGATCATCGACGTACGGATAACATCGACAGGAAAAAAACTACCATGCTCGAGCGAATGCGTCTACGCGACGGTCATCTCGACAGAATAGAAAATTTCAGCACATACGGCGACTTTTTTATCCCGTCTCGGGGCAAGAAGCCGCTTAGCGAGTCAGATGATTTGGACAGGAAGGATACGAAGCCAAGTAAGTCCTCTGCAGGACGGTGGGAGGATTTGTCAAGCATACAGCGTTACGCGCAACGCGAAGAATCCGAAAGCGATAAGAGAGAAGTTGACGAAGCGATGGAGGACGAGTCGGGAACCGATCAAAACGAGACCAGGTCGACAGACGCGCGACTGATGACCAAGCCGGACTCGAAAAGCTTCTCAGGGATAAGGACTCACGCTAATTACCGGGAGAAGCGCAACACCTACGATACCAGATCAGATCTCTGGAAAGACGCCTTGCTGAGGAACATCGAGCGGGAGATCGTGGAGTCGACCTATTTAAGGCCGAGAGACAAGCACAGCAATGTTCTGGACCTGCAGAATCACCTGTCCACCGATCCCTTCTTCATCATGCGGGGTAAGAAGGCATCACACGAACTCCCAGACGCAGTCAGCTCGGTGACAGAACGGCGAAACGACATGGACGACGTCGCCCGAGCGATACATTACTCGATAGAGGAGAATCTGCTGAAGATGCTGCTGATGGAAAGATCCAAGTGCAACGAGCAATACTGCGATATCGACGTGAGTCGTCCGTTGAGGGACAAACCGGTGTTTAGGAACCGGCGCAATCCGCTTGACAACCTTTTGAAATACGACCCGTACGTGATAATTAGAGGCAAGAGGGCGAAGCTGGATAACTTTTAGAGCAACGGACAGTTGCGGCCAAAGTGGACGAGTCGCTCGAGCAGATTTTCATTACGGACGCTGCGCGAGACGACGAAGCCTGTGTTCTTGGAGCATATTCGAACGCTAAGCACGCCTTTCTGATCCTTAAGCTAAATATACAGAACGCTGGTACAAAAAAAAAACTTCAAATGAAAAGGGCGTATTTAGCGTTTGAATACGCATCAAGAACGTGGTCCCTGGTCTTCCAGAAGAAACGCGTTATTCGAGACATCCTTTCCGATGACTACGCGGTGTTGTAATTAGGAATCCAGGTAGCAGGGGAACTTCTAAAATAATGTCTTAAAAATATCTTAACTTTTTCACTATTACACGTTCATTTTATATTGAACATATATCATCAAAAAATTGATGAAAAATTTCTTAAATCACTTATCGTAAGTTATAATCTTGTTGCTTTCTTTTTTGTTTTGCTTCTGGTTTCCATGTATAATTTTGAAAGCATTCTTGAAAGTAAATTAGAAAGCAAATTAGAAATTAGATTTACATCAGTACGTCCGAGAGACGTTTGGTGTTATTATCAAAGTTACGACTTTTGATTATTCGCCGCGGACTCTTGATTGATGATATCAGAAGCAAGGGAATGCCCAAAATTCTTGCAAAGTTAACTTTTTCACTATTACACGTTCATTTTATATTGAACATATATCATCAAAAAATTGATGAAAAATTTCTTAAATCACTTATCGTAAGTTATAATCTTGTTGCTTTCTTGTTTTGCTTCTGGTTTCCATGTATAATTTTGAAAGCATTCTTGAAAGTAAATTAGAAAGCAAATTAGAAATTAGATTCACATCAGTACGTCCGGGAGACGTTTGGTGTTATTATCAAGGTTACGACTCCTGATTATTCGCCGCGGACTCTTGATTGATGATATCAGAAGCAAGGGAATGCCCAAAATTCTTGCAAAGTACGTCGAAATAAAAAAGATGTAATTAACACATAACTTTCTGCTCAACCTGCATTTCTTTGTTATTTCATCACGTTAATATTATGATTATTTATTGACTGTTAGAGTAAAAGAAAAGTGTTCGGAATATTTTGGAGATATATTTAATCGATTGTCATTTTCTTGAATATATCTTCTTATATTTCGACGCACTTTGCCGGAATTTTAAACATATATTTCCTCGCTTCTGATCAATTAAAATAGCCGCGACGAGTGGCAAGAGTCTCAAAGACGTCTACAAGATGTCCCACTTGTTCAGATTTATTTAGACTTCTTTTAGACATTTTTTTAGAAGCTTATGCTACCTTGGAAACAGGACGTGTGACATAGGGAGCGGTCTCTCGACCTTACCGGTTGCTATTTGCTTCGGCTATGCCCGAATCGACGCAACACCAACGATCCCGTGTATAACGATCCCGCAGACGACGTCTGCGGATAAATAACGGATAAATTCGGATAAATAACGAGAGAATTATGAGTTACTTAGTAATTAAGTAGACTTAGCACGAGGAGGAATTGTTTATGCAATGGTAGAGCTTGCGAAACATGCGATTCCATCTACAAATGTCAATATCACGTAGACATGAAACTTAGGACGATCTAAGTACATAATCTGTACTCGCGTGACTTACTCAAGTTTAAATTCGGCATATTTATTATAATGTTACTGCATGCTACTGTTAATGCTAACAGACTTGCGACGTAAATAAACAAAAGACACTAGAAGGAGGATAACATTTAGTCAGTTTTTTTTAGCTGAACTATCTGAACTGATACATATTGATGTAATAAGTTAGAATGAAACAAGTATATTTTGTTTCATTCTAATTGCATCTGTCTGCACAAGTTCAGGCATTCTAAGAAAACAGGCCAATTAAGTCGCGCTGTGTGTTGAAGTAGTGAATAGAAGAATAAAAGTTGATATATAAATCTCAAAGAAGTTGCACGTAATCGACATATAGTTAATACTGTTGCACGCGTGCTTTTGGAAACGAGAATTGATTCACTGATCTCTCAACGTCAGCTGTCGAGGACTTGACGCCTCGTTTACGTTGAGAGACCAGTGAATCGATCTTTGGCCCCAAAAACGCAGGCACAATAATATATTGACTCATATATGTATGTATAAAGACATAGGTCGGAGAGCATAGACTTTTGTGATATTTTGTTTTAAAGAAATTGCGAAACTTAACCCTATACGTGCGCGCGAACGCACAAGTGTACGTGCAAATATCGCCAAAGTCATTTCCTCGTTGCAAATGTTATCGATTACTTTATGCTTGAACAAAGTACGTTCACGAGAATTGTGTGAAATCAAAATAATTACCTGCTGAATATCGATGTTCGCGAAATTGACACTTTCTTACGGTTCTTATAGGTTAGGTGGGCGTGACACTTCCGTTTTCTTCTATGCAACTCGACGAGCGACTAACATGAGCGTTGATGAGACCATTTTAATCATCAGCCGATAAAAATTAACATCATTTGCTAATTTATTATATATTTCGTATATTATTTATTATGATTACCTTCACATACGAAGACTTGTCGTCGAGTTGTTTGGAAAATCCGTACGACTTGTTGTTGGGTTACACTACTTGAAAGTATACTCGCTGTAGAGTAGTGTCATGTGTGCGCGACGCGTCTCTCCAATATCGAAACAGAGAAAAACCTGAGAGCGGTCACCAGCCTGATTTTAGTCGCTAGAGCTTTGACTACATAAGTATGGACTACCAGTTGGCTTTCTCACGCTGTAATCAACATGAAGAGCGCCTCCAAGAGCTAAGTGGCGAATCCTAGTACTTCGATGACATATTGTGAACTTATGTATAGTAGCAAACCTATATTTTTACCAGTTCAATGCTTGATATAATGATACAAACAACATTTAGAAATATTAATTGAGACAAATTATTTGCTAATTTTGACACACATGTCAAAGAACTTGATATATTAGAGAACCATAAATATATGTTAATAAAATTAATAATATTTTACTTTCAAGTAAAATTATATTATGAAAATAAGTGCATTACTGAAGAGAAACCTGAGAGCGGCCACGTCATACGTTTTGGCCAACATCGATTTTCACGCGGTTCGATGCGCCATCTGCATCCATTTTTGAAGTGGAATACGTTTCCTACGCTCATTTTCAGACGCTGTCGGTAAAATGTCTATTTGTTGCATGTCCATTCTATGCCCATTTTCTGGTAATTCATGTCCGTACTAAACGCATAATTGCGTGGTTAAGAACATGGACAGTCCATGCTCAGAATGAAGATCTACTAAATGTAAAATTGCACATAGAGATGAGTTTTCGTACACGAATTTTGCATATATACAGCTTTCATTTTCAACTATTCACTTTTTCCCACCCGTAGTTTGAATGGCATAATTAAAATATACTTAGATTTATTCACGCGTCGTATATTATTTCTTCTCCCCAGAAGTGATTTTATCCCAATTGAAATTTAATTCGTCTTGTCAACGACAAACGCGTATGCATAAGAAGATCCCGAAGAGATCCCTGTTGAAAAAAACCAGGTAGAAATTCATATAATTTCTCCTGGTGATTTGAGCTAAAAGCCCATGGAAAACCATACGGATTCCCACATGGTTTTCACAGGAATCCCATGTGAAATTCCATGTAGTTACCTGGACAGCACAAAATATATATATTTATAAAATATTTATAAGATTTATTTGATTATTTTATAATTATTTACCAAAATATTTTATAAATATTTTTGTGATCTTAGAGATTTAATAGATCATAAATATTTATCATAAATATTATAAATTTATTTATTAAAATATATGACATTTATATGCATTTTTTCTTTTCCTGAATTTTTCTTAAATTTCCTACTTTATTGTTTCACACGCTACTTAATTTAATTTAAATTGTAGCTCGAAAAATTTGCTTACCATGCTAGGGTTCGACGAACCTGAGACCTCTGCTTCTTGAGTCGTCACCTTACCTACAGCGCCACTGTCACTTTGACTGAGAGAGCTTTATATTATATACATATGGTATATCAATATACGAAAACAAGTGATTTATTTAAAAGAAGAGAATAGATCCTTTTATATGTAAAAAGTATGTTTAAAAAGTATGTAAAATATATTTATATATTTTTTTACATTTTATAAGTATGTAAAAATATCTACTAGTTTTAAAAGTAAGTAAAATACAAATTAATCATTTTGTAAATTTAAATAAACTGTTTTCTGACAATAAAAGTAACTTATAAAATATTGATTCATCCGGCAAGCAGAAATGTATTAAAATAGAAGTGACATTTTGACAGCTTTTCATGTTAATATTTTATTTTAATATTTTCACGCTAATTTCTCTCAAACTATTCATTATTTAATAAGCGCCCCAGAATATTAATAAACATTCTATTTTACTATATTCAAAAACAATATTTTTAGTAAAAAAAATATTTAAGAATATTTTTTATTTACTTTTAATATTCTTACTTTTCTTCTATTAATTGCGCGTTATATATGAGCGGATAATCTTCTGGTAAAAACATGTATGTAAGAAACGTCAAGCTGTCAAAATGTTACTTCTGTTTTGACACATTCCCGCTTGTCTGATGAATCAACAGTCATGAAAAACGATCAGCTGGAAACGAACACGGCTGGTTGAAATTTTCTAGTAATTATAAATCTAGTGAATGGAATAGCATCAATGCAACTGAGTGTACAACAGGCACGAACCAGACGCATTTTATTTACCACCGCGAAAATGCGCCTAACGAACGTAGTAAAGGCGCACTTTGTTAGATGGCGTCTCGAAAATGTGCCTAACTATGGCCATTGAAATCAAGCTGGTAACCGTTCTCATGCTTCTCTCTGATCGAAGACTTTCTTACTGCCGTAAAGAAAAATTTCGAAGCGATGCATGGAGCGCTTCGCAGCGGAGGCTTTGGAACCAAAGAAAATAACGGGTCTGGAAATCGCAATGGGTCCAAGCGACATTTTTAGCTGACACTCGAATCCTTCGATATACGACACGAAAATTTGTGGAGTAGTCTATGATCAAAACAAGCGAGTGAAGATGTGCTTAATCTATAGATGTTGACCTTGTAGAAACAGATGCGCTGACAACCTAGTGATAGTGCACTCCCATATTTATACCCTCCTACATTCAAATCGCATCTCCTACACTCTTTTGCACCTTTTGCATAGTAAAACGGCGGCAAAGATCAGCGCAGTCGTACACGGTACAGGGTATGAGATTTCGGATATCGTTTTTTTATTAACGTTTTATCTGTTACAATTTTGATTATACATACATATAATGCGGATCCTTCTTTAAACACATGGTTGCTATGATACAAATGACGAGGATAAAAATTTGGAGTGCGTAAAAATGTAATTATAGATGAGTTCTTTCTCATTTTTGTTCGATTTTTCTTTTTTATCTTTTTTCTCTTTTTCACTCTCTCTTCTCCTCATTACTTCATTGGTCATGGCGATGGGTCAAAACTCTCTTTCTCTCTGTCTCTATCTCCCTCTACTTCTTTTTGTGTGCGTATATTAATATAATATACCGAGATTGGCCCATGTCCACTCTAAGTGGGTAAAGTATTGTAGTACCCTTGCGATCGCTCAATTAAATCGTCCCTAATTCGCTAAGACTTCTCTCCCTTTCTTCTTTTTTATACACTATCTTGGTGTGCGCAATCGTCGCTCAAGACTGATCTGGTATTAGCGATTCGATCGTCCCGCCGACCTTAGGACTGTGTTTCCCACACCGATCACAGAGGCACGAATTCAGTGCCAAATTCAGAGGACGGTATTCATGGAGGTACGAATGCACGTATTTCGCACAAACTTTTGCCCATAAACGTCAAGAAAGCCAAATAACTTGGATGAAGTGGAGCGTCCTTAGGACATCTTTGCGAAAACATTCTGCAGATTGTTTCGTGAGGCTCGAGAAGTTTCACCGGTAGCGTCTTAAATAATTAATTAGTTCTGATTTATATCGCTTGAACGTGAATTTCTAAGCATAGCTGCAACTAACGAAAGTATACAAAAAGAAACTTTTACAGCCGATTTTTCAGTGATAGTCTAAACTTAGATTTAGCTTTAAACTCTATCCTAACAATGTCCTTGATGTGAATAAAATTTAAATTGTTTGTGAATAAAATTGTTTGTGAATAAAATTTAAACTTAAATATGAGTTTAAGATACTATTGAAAGATCGGCCCTTAATCGATCTAATTATAACTTAATTAATCCTAACGAAAGTTAAGATTGCGAAAGTGTATCACCATTCTCGATCGAACGACTCCGCTAATGATATTGATCTCGGGTAATTATAGAAACAGTCCTACAGACTAGAAATACAGTTACAGATCGTAGGAAATGAATGATAATAATTATTCCACGAGAATACATCGAAAGTCGTTCGTATTCAAAGTGCAATCCGCTTAACGCTTTATAGATTTCGACGTTAGTGACGTCAGTGTCAAAAGACGCTTCAAAGCGTCTAGTGTTCATCCCTGAACATCAATCATGAATCTTTTCACGTGAATTTAATCTTAGTTAACAATCATGTATTTTTCCCCTAATATAAAATCATGAAAAGCGAATAATTTTACGATATTTGGATCATGAATCTTTTCTTCCAATATAAACTCCTGAAAAGTGAATATTTCCGTATATTTTTAAAATTAGGAACTAGTCCCATCTCCGATTAACTTCGGCTGATTATTCCACTGAAATTAATCGCAATCGTCGTTCAGCAGAATTGACCAATCACGGTTGTCTCCTAGACCTAGTTTCACAATAGTGTAATCGCATCATTCATATGCACAAAGAAATCAACCAAACATAATTCATACAATAAAAGGATGCCTTTTATATTAGACATATTTTACATTAGATTAATCAATTTCCTTGTGCGTATGAATAATACGACTTTAAATAGATCTTTAACGAGTTAAACTCCGACTAAAGTAAGTGAAACTAGGCCTAAGATGGTAAGACCGGCTCTAGATCTTTCACTTTTCACGAGTTCACGCTAGGGGAAAAGATTTATAATCGACCCCCTCCCGTGGTGTCAGTCGTTTCATCGAACTACACTTCGACGTAAGATCGCGCCGCCGTCGCGCGCATGATTTCAAATTAGTTGGACATATTACAGTAATGGTCGATCGGTCGGTCGGTTGCGGACGTGTGGCTTACGCGGATACGCGGGAAAAACACGAGAATCGTCGGAATATGCACGACGCAAGCGAAAGAAGAGGTCCTCTGAACTTGGAACGACGATGGATTGCCTTCGCGTATGTTCGTGCAGCGACGAATGACACGTTGTCAGTTTCTCTATTTCTCTCTTTCTTTCACTCTATCTCTTTCTCTCTTGCTCCTTTACCATTATACACAAGATTTATCAACGATTATTCAGAATAGAATTCTCTCTCTCTCTCTCTCTCTCTCTCTCTCTCTCTCTCTCTCTCTCTCTCTT